TGTTTCTCTTTTTTTTAAACTCACATTTGTAAGGCAAACGAGAAATATCTTTTGATAGTGAGTTTTGAATCCGTATTTCAGATGATATTTGACAATTCGTAAATAGACGATTAAGGTGAGAATTCCGATGGTAATGAAAGTGGAACTAGAGACAATTTCGAAGGGATCGACAAAATGACCATCAAAATCGTTTGGAGGCGCATTTGAATCATCGGTGGTGATGGGGGAATCGGTGGAAGAGGGCTCGGGAGATGGAAGATCGGTGGACATTTGAAAGAGAGAGAGGAGGAGAAGAACTGAAAGGACGATGATGATAAGGGAGAAGAGAAATTGAAGAACTTGAGAGAAGAATGAGATGTGAGTGGGACGTGTAATGGGTTACTTAACGCTCGTCACAGATAAAATTAGTGCAATATCGAAATTGACAAAGGTGTCGCGTGTTTAGATTTCCGTTTATTTTTTAAAGTATTCAGCCGCTTCGAGTTTCCTATTTGGCATTAAAAGGGGGTATCTCGGCCGTAACTTAGGGAACTTAGGGAGCCGATAGTTCGAGTCATCCTCGATTTTTGGGCTTGGATCAACAGGTTGTCGTTTAGACTGGTAGTTGGCTGCATAGGATCTTCAATTTTTCGCATTTGATCGATTTTACAACCGCTTGGCAATTTGCCACAATCTCTGAATCGTTTCGCATCTCTGAATGCGAAAAATTGAAGATCCTATGCAACGAACTACCAGTCTAAACGACAACCTGTTGATCCAAGCCCAAAAATCGAGGATGACTCTGTCTACAGGCGAACTATCGGCTCCCTAAGTTCCCTAAGTTACGGTCGAGATTTGCACCCCCTCCCTTTAATGCAAAATAGGAAACTCGAAGCGGCTGAATACTTTAAAAAAATAAACGGAAATCCAAGCGCAAAAATCGAGGATGACTCGGCTCTGTCTGCAGGCGAACTTTGGAGTATTTTAAAATTAAAAATAAAAGTCAAAAACGTTCTTTCCTGCCGGGTTTTTTTTTGGTTGTTTTTATAATAAAATGTAATGTTTTATTAAATAAAAACATAAAGTTACCTTAAAAAAAAGACCCGGTCGAGATTTGCACTCCCCCTCACCCTTTAATTTGCCCTAATAAGTTCTTTTACGACTATATGAATGCTAACCCCGGTTTTAACGCAATATCTAAGCGGCTCCCTAAGTTACGTTTTTTTTTTTGGCGGTTCAACTGTATAAGAAGACGAAAGGAAAACTCAATTGTAAACAAATACAAATACAAAATGTGATTTTCGATTCAAAAAAGTATTGTAAAGTTTTTTGACTTCAATCGAGTTTCGATAAATGACTAACATTTATTGACAAAGTTTCGTAAAGAGAGACAAAATGGAAATTTAACGAGAAATTGTAAATTGCCGGTTCAAAGAGGCAATTAAAAAAGTTGCTCGATGTAACAAAAACTTTTTGGAAATGAAAATGCATTTCGGAACTCAATTTTCAATTTGTCTGGGGGTTTTCTCAAGGGGAAACAAAGAAATTTTGCAAAATTTCAAAGAAAAATCCATTTTTTATATGTGTTTGGTACAATATTTTTGTAATAATAAATCTTAACCTTCATGAGTATCATTTTTTGCAATTTACAGTGGGCCCTTTTTTCTACCCGAGCTGTTCAGCTCGGGTAGACAAAAACATCGGCAAAATGTCGTGATAATAGATTTCTACGGTAGAAATTGAAAAACAAATATTTTCAAAGTATTAAAATTGCCAAATTTTCCCAAAATTTCAACTCAAACACCATAAAAACGATGAGAGAAATTTCTCTGCACTTTCTCGCCAAAAAGAAAAAAAGAAAAACGAACACCGTTTCCTTTTGGAGAACAAGCGATGAGTAACCCTTTCACATAGCTGACATCACTAAAAACCCCCTCAAATTCGCCATTTCCCTAATTCAAAAGCTAACTTCAAAACCAAATTGGGTAAATGAACCGAAATTTGCCAATCGAAACTCCTTCAATTTTCTCGATTCCCTTCCCTATATAATCTCGATCGTTTCCCATTTCAATCAACAATTTTGATTCTTTCTTCAATTCTCCAAGTCTAAAATGTCTTCTTTTTCGTCTATTTCGATCATTTGTTTCTTCGCTATTTTGGGAATTTCTCTTGGATTCGATCATTTTGATGGAGATTTGAGAAGAGATTTCAATCGACAACACGAAGAATTCGAGCCTCTTCATCAGAGATTTGAGTGAGTTATTCGAAGATTTATTCAATACTAGTAATGCTAGTATTCAATACAAGTTTTACGAATCAATATAACATTTAAATGTTTCAACGTTTCAGCCAACTTTCTCGTTTCCGTCGTCACATGGGCCGGGGAGGAATGGGCGGTGGAGGAATGGGCGGTGGAATGGGAATGATGGGTAAATTGATTAAAATACTATCAAATTCAAACTCGTCTCAGCTACAGTAAATCTGAAGTAAAACGCTAGACTGAGTACCTATACAACTTTAATTGAATTTTAAACCATAACCTTCGCGAATTCTCCTTTTCGGGTTACTGTAACGGAGCAAGAGAATGAGGGACAATTACAGTTGCTCTAATGAATTGCGGCAATTGCTCCAATGAATTTAGATCAACTTTACAATACAACTAACGATACTTTAAAGGTCTATATCAACTATAAAATTTTTTAATAAAAATTATCCAAATTTTTTAGGTGGAATGGGTGGAATGAGCGGTTTCCCTCAACAATCCCAGCCACAACAACCCTTCCCCGGTGTCATCCAATCCTCACAAAACAGTTGGGGATCGTTCTCTGAGAAACGCGACGGTGGATTCAACAATTCGCAACAATCCATCATTATGGGTTAAACATTGCATTTTCTTTTCTTCTTCATTTGTACATATGTCACGAGTCGCACTTTGCAACAAAACTCTTTTATCGAACTCCGGGTCGTTTTTTTTGATTCTCAGAGCTTCCATTCTTAATAAATTTTTATTGTATTTATGCGTAAACTTAAAAAAAACTTTAAAACATTCGACGACATTTCGACGTCATTTCAAAAATGGAAACCTGTTAAAACCGGTTAAGAACCGCGTTTTCTAGAGTAAAATTTAACGAGGAGTTCGAAAAACGTGGTTTCGAAACGATTGGAGCCCGCTATCATAGAGAAACATTTATTCTGAAAGTTGAAATTTTCAGTGATCATCTTTGAAGGGTTTAAAATGCTTGAAAAACTAATCTAAACTGAAATACAAAATCTACCATTCGCTAGAACTTGAATTGAGCTTTCAGAATATATATGTTGTGTCCGATTTAGATTTCCGTCCGATTTAGATTCAATCTAAATCTTATATAGATTGAACAATAATATAAACATGCTTAATATATGTTCTTAAGCGTTTTCTGTAGTTTTCTGCATTTTTCAAAGGTCTTTTATTGATTACAGTCTATATCGGACGTCCGATACAGATCGAACAATAATAAACGTGCTTAATATATGTTCTTAAACGTTTTTTTGCAATTTTCTGCGCTTTTCAAAGAAATTTTATGGTCTTTTTTTGAGAATTTTTTGTTTTCTTGTTTTCCTATTAAATGCTTACTATTGTCCTATTAAAGTTAAAAACTACAGAAAACGCTTAAGAACATATATTAAGCATGTTTATATTATTGTTCAATCTAATAGGTTGATGCATAAGTCTTTTCGTTTTTTTCGTACTTCTGTTAAAAAGTAACAAATTCACCAATTAATCTATAGTTTGCTCTATAAAAAAAGTGTGTTTTTGTTCAATTTGCATCTTTTTAAATGAATTTCGGTTCACTTTGAAGCAAATTCGAGAGTGAAAAACGCCTTTTTCGTAAAAATCTATAAAAAAACTCTACGGAAAAATTGGCTGAATGAATTCCTCTGAAATTTTGGCGAAATATCAAACTTTTTTTTTCTCTATCTTTTATCTATTGACTATGAAGATAGGTTTTCTTTAGCTAAGGTGTCTAAACCGCATCATTGAGTTAGCCCTTTTTGACTACCCGACTTCATACTCTCAAGAAAATCCAGGCATTAAATATTTTTAAACCCGTTTTAATGTTATTTTGCAGAAAAATAATTGGTTTTTCTAATGAAATCAACCGTAGTTTAATTGGTGCATTTGTTGGCTTGAAACGGCAGACGAAAAGGAACAAAAACACTTATGCATCAACCTAATATATAAGACGTATTATTGTTCAATCTATATAAGATTTAGATTGAATCTAAATCCAACAGAAATCTAAATAGGACACAACATATATATGTCGTAGTCGTTTACGAAATTCAGCCGCTAACGAATCATTCGTAAACAAAGAAAACCGAATGATTCGTTAGCGGCTGAATTTCGTAAACGGCTACTATATGGTGCTCGAGAGGGTAACTCCCACATTCAATACATACCGTAAAATGGGTTTGAAGATGGGGGTTTTTGCGAGGGGTTGATATTATTCCGGTACTGGTATATCACTGACAATATTGTATTCAAAGTCAAGCGAGTTTTATACTTGAATATATAGCTCACCAAGCTCACCAATAAACCACTTTTCGACTACATTTGATCATATTTTACTGGCTTTAATTTTGACATGATTTTGAATAATTGCCCACTGTCTTTTCATTAACAAACCCTCCACGGAATTTCCCCTTCTCATCCGAGTTGAACTCTTCCAATCTCATTTGTCTTTTTTTTATGTCATTCCCAAAATTTTCCATCAAGAAGAAACTTTATTACAAAAAGAAAAATATGTGTAAGCTCAAGAAAACCGGTTCCCCATGATGCATTGCACAAATGGAAGCACGGATTTTTCAGAAAATAAAACAAAGACAGAAAATAAAGCTCAACTTTGAACCCGTTTCACAAAGCAATCACAATGGATACGGTAAAATGTAAGCACAACATTCCAGCGACAGTATGAAAATGTTCAGTTAACATGGCTCTTACTGTATTGAAATTAGTCTGCTCTTATAATATCTTGAACTTAACAAGAATAGTAAGCTAAGAAAAGTGAGAAGATGGTGAAAATCGACAAGTTAAGAGCTGTTGAAGTGGTTTTATCGTTTCCGCAAAGCTAAAGCGGGAAATATTTGTTCTCTTTATATTTTTATCTCTTTTTCACAAACCTCATTCATTTCTGTCAAATTTCGGATTCTCATCTGTTCATAAACATTTAGAAATTGATTGATTGGACAAGGATTTGAGCAACCGGGAATTTCCATCAAATAGGGTGGCTGTTGGGTGGTGTTACGATAGAAAACCTAAAACTTTTGATTGAATAAGTGAAATTGATTGAAATTGATTGAAATTGATTGAAATTGATTGAAATTGATTGAAATTGATTAAAATTGATTAAAATTGATTGAAATTGATTGAAATCGATTGAAATTGATTAAAATTGATTGAAATCGATTGAAATTGATTGAAATTGATTGAAATCGATTGAAATTGATTGAAATTGATTGAAATTGATTAAAATTGATTGAAATTGATTAAAATTGATTGAAATTGATTGAAATCGATTGAAATTGATTGAAATCGATTGAAATTGATTGAAATCGATTGAAATTGATTAAAATTGATTGATTCTTATACAAGAACTTACAAAATAATGTTTTTTTAAGTTCGAGAAAGATTCACCGGAGAAATTGCACTGTTTTTTAAAACAAACCTGCACTTTGAGATCGTCATTGATTGACGATCGAGAGACTTCCAGCAAAATCGCGGCCGCATAGGGAACGAGTTCTCCATTTTGCATTCCCATTGCCGATTGCAGAGCATTCAATGTACCGTCATGCTAAAATTTATCTATGGAATTCTATTAAATAGAATTGGCAATCAGTTGAAACTAGAGCAGATCAAAAAGTTTGGCACCGCCGGGACTCGAACCCGCCGACCTTTCACTTTCCGGCCAACTGTGCTAACCACAACGCACTTGATCTCCTTTACTCCGGAGGAAATTAGCTAATCATAGATCATAGAATGAAAAAATCAATTATAGAAAATCGTTTTACCACTAACCGATGAGTAAAGCACTGCACTGAAAGTCTTTTTCCCGTCTCTCAACGCCTCCAAATAGGAAAGCCAATTGTTCAACAGATATCTAAAGTTGAATAATATTTACTGGCTTTGATTTTGACATGATTTTGAACAATTGCCCACAGTCTTTTCATCAACAAACCCTCCACGGAATTTCCCCTTCTCATCCGAGTTGAACTCTTCCAATCTCATTTGTCGTTTGATGTCCATAATCGTGGGCAGAATCGAAACATTCCCAACTCGACCGCTCACCCAATTTGGTTGTGGTAAGCCGTGAATGATCTATAAAGTTTAATCAAGTGATTTTTTAAAATAAAAGACCCAATTGTAGAAGTGATTCCAAGTTTAAGCTCTTAAAGATGATCTTAAAGATCTCCTCACTTCTCTCTGAATATCATTCAATCCATCAGCGTTGATTCCCGAGATTGAGTCACCAGTCATCTCAGTTAGGAATTTGAATAGATCGCCGAATTGACTGAAAGCTTTGTGAAGATTTGATAATACTCAAATTTACCTATCAAATCGACTCGCAAGCATTTTCTGATCATCATCTTTAATTTTCTCATACTTTGGACAATCATAGCTTGTTGGTTTTAGAAGCTGAATTTAAATTTATCAACTAAATTTATCAACAACTAGACTTTAAAAGAATTTCAAATTCTCCACCGTATCCTGGCGATCAATTCCATTCGAATGGATGGGAACTGGTTGCCAAGAAAGATTCGAGTTCCATCTGAAAAAAGGTTTAAGTAAAGAATTCGTAATACAAATAAGAGTTTAACTTTATTTTCATTACTTACACTCTATTTCCAATCGGTGGGAAAAGAGCGGTGGCAACGGATTGAGCTGATTCAAGGGCTCGCTCACTGTCCGATGCTTGGATGAATACCTTAAATTTGACCGTAAATCTAAAAGCTCTTAAAAGCGAAAAGCACTTAATTGACTTTTACAGTCTAAAGTGTTCGATTTATGGAAAGATCTTGCCTTGCTTTTGTCAAAGTTTGGTCCAAACAACTGGCTCCCTTCGACGTAGCGTTGACGGAGAAATGTGCCCAGTTCATACGTTTGATCGATGCCTATCTAAAGGCTCGAATGGTTTGATTTATTTCTGAGAATTCTACATTAGTCAATTGATCCCATCCTCTTGGCCAAGCAGTGACTCCATTTTGATCTTTCGAATAGGGAAGCGAGCCAGGCGCTCGATCGCCGTGCCTCCAAATGGCTAGCAGTTGGACTAATTCTGAAAAGGGGAAAAGGATCTGTTTTGATTTCTTTTGATTATTAATTTAATGAGGAATCCAGTTGAAGGTTATGGTAGGTTTTCAAGATTTAAATCCTAAGAAAATCAAGAGATCTGGTGTCAGATATTTTATAAAAAGATATTCAGCTGTAAAGATTTGTATCCAAGGTTCGAGCTATTCATTTATTAAATTTAGATGTTATGTGTTCTAAAATATGTTCTAACGTTAAAAACCTTACCTGCATTTACTGCATTGAAAAGAACGGTAAAAATGAAGATCCTCAGCCACATTCTAGTCCGATCAGCTGAAATTTTAGAAATTAGAGTCTGGTAAAGAAGTCTGTTATCAAAGCGTATTTAAAGCATCGCACAAAAACCTCATCAAATGGGGGAAAATTACCGGAAACCCTCTCACGGTATTCAACAAACTTTATCAGTGACCGGAAAAGGAGACAACGAGGCGGCAAAAATCAGAACTGAATCAAGATTAAAAAAAACGACTTGGTCGTTACTGATCTTATGAGGTAAAGAACAAAAGAAAAAAAAGGTGTAAATAGAGAATGAGTCAAGAGAGAATCGTTGAAGGCAAAATCGAGTAAAATCAGCTTTTGCATGAAAAAACCTTTCCATTCTTAACCGCAAGTACAGTTTCTCGTTTCTTCAGTTGAACACTGGAGTTGAACATCAGAAATTTTATCAGAAAAGAGTCAACGCTGTAGTCGGGAAAAGAAAAACCCATTTGAAAGCAAAAATCAAAGCAAACTTTCCCAAACTGTCGCCCTTTTCTCTGCGTTATTTGCCATCTTTTTCATAGACACTGATCTAAATTTCTCTTGAAAAAGAAATCCCTGTAAAAAAAAGGGTTTACCCGACAAGAAGAAAAGTTCACAAAAAATCAACGGTTGACCAAGAACCAGCTAGAAATTTCAATGAAAAAACTTGATAAAGGTTACAGAAAAGGTTTTAGATCGAGAGTTTAACTTAATGTTTCAAAGTTTCGAGGGTACTTGTGACTCTTACGCCCACCAATTATCTTTGACTATCCATTGGCATAGCTGCCTATTCTTTGACTAGCCATTCGCATAGCTGCCTATTCTTTGACTAGCCATTCGCATAGCTGCCTATTCTTTGACTAGCCATTAGCATACCTGTCTATTCTTTGACTATCCATTGGCATAGCTGCCTATTCTTTGACTAGCCATTAGCATAGCTGCCTATTCTTTGACTAGCCATTGGCATACCTGCTTATCATTAGCATAAAAAGACGTTTACATTTGCATATTGCGCACAATTAGTATAAAAAGAGTTGCTCGTTTTGCATATTCAAAATGATTTGAAACGGATAAAAGACTAAAAAGTAAAAAAACTAAAAAGTAAAATAAAAAGTAAACTAAAAAATAAACTAAAAAGTAAACTAAAAAGAGAAGTAAAAATAAGAAATGTTCTTTTTTTTATCTTCTTAGAGAAGGTGTTTATTCGTATCCAAATTTTACTATGTAAATTGATGAGCGTAAGAGTCAAAAGTACCGTTTTAAAATAAACTAACATATAAGATTTTAAAACTAAGTCTTGAAAAGCTTTGAATCCAAAGAACAAGGGAACTAAGGGATTTTTTGGGGTGTCATGTGTTCTATTGGGATTTCATTTCACCTTTTTCTCATAGAAAGAAAAAAACGGTTCAGTCAATCAAACACAGAAAAAACACTGCCCAAATCATAGAAAAAGGGGACTACAAATGAACAAAAATCCAAAAAGAGACATTTGCGAGCGTTTTTGCGAGCTCTTTCTTTCACATTTATCCATAATAAATAGATCCTTTGGTTGGAATATATTGGAAATGAAATGTGTAAATGATAAAGACAAGGAATATGTGAGTAAGTTGGTTTAGTATTGAACTTTTCCACGCATGCACATACCACGTCCATCCGAAAACGTATTTTGGACGTGCTAATACTGATCCAGTGATCGAAAAGCATCGATCGATTAATTTGATCTTGTTGTTAATTCAAACATTTGAGGACTTCATCTAGTTTAATTCAAATCTCCTATTGAAGTTTTATAAAACCCTATAGAACTATAGATATTCTATAGAGAAGGAAAAAGTCCCCATTCAAAAGGCGAAAGTCCTTTAGAACTTACATGCAAGTGTAATTTGAGTTTGTATTTGATAAAGAAAATTGAGCACAATATCCTCAAGCACTAAAGTCGAAAAGCTTTGCTTATAATTCGGATTTTAGTCTCATTGTAGGGATTGAGCAAATAAAGAGCTTCATGATTTGCTTTTGATTTTATTTATTGAGGGAGTTGTTTTGGAAAAAATGAATCACAAGTGATGAAAGCTGATGGAAATTGAGGAGTTGGCTGAATATAGAGAAAATCTTTTATGAGAAAGTTAAATGAAAGATTTCGATGTAAAAACTGATTGAAATTGATTCACGATTTTGTCTAGACAAATCGTTTATATTGTGACTGTTGGTCAAGAGGTTAAAAAGTTTTCTATAAGTTTAAAGACGAGTTGGGCAAGTGAGTTTCATCTTTGAGATATCCAACTGATCACCCGTGTTTCCCCAACGATAAGCTTTAATAAACAATTTCCAAGTTCAAGTTCAAGTTCAAAGGATACGCTTGCTCACTGCTCACTTTAGTTTTCCAAACCACGTTACTTACAAGGAGATGCCACAAAATGAACGTAGCAGATTTTGACGCCGTTGAGATGCGTATCCTTTGAACTTGAACTTGAACTTGGAAATTGTTTATTAAAGCTTATCGTTGGGGAAACTCTGGTGATCAGTTGGATATCTCAAAGATGAAACTCATTTCGCCAACACGTCTTTAAACTTATAGACAACTTTTCGGAGACAGGGAATCCGATGCTGTATTCAGTTTTTGCTCATATTCAAAAACAAGCGAGAAAAACGTGTCCAAAGTTTGGGTGTCTACTCGGATCTTCTAGCTTGTTTTTGAATATGGGCAAAAATTGAATACAGCATCGGATTCCCCGTGTCCGATAGGCGTTTGCATCTCAATGGCGTCAAAATCTGCTACGTTCATTTTGTAGCAGCCCCTTGTTAGCACACTTGAATGCCTTTGAACACTAGGAAATCACAAAAGATTGTTTTTTGTAGAGTTTACTAGAACTCAAAGTATGAAAAAAGCCAAAAAGTTTAGATTTGAATTTGAAAAACAATATAGAATTTGATTATGATCAAAAAAACGTCAATCAAGCAAAGAAACTTGTCCTTTTCCTGAGGCTGAAATTCATCTAGGCACAAAATAAATGCTGAATAATTTAACAATGACTAGAGGAGACAACAAGAACCAATAGAACATTCAACTATTGCTCATTCTAAATAGGACTTCGATCAAGAGCCAAAAAAAGTTTTAAGTTTAAAAAAAGATGAATAATCGTTGAGAAAAGTTAACTCAAAGGAAAACCCGATTTTCGAATTGTTTATTCACCTGTGCTCTGGTTTTAAATCCGAATTTCAATCGACTTTTCGTTTTCAAAATTTGAATACATTTCCTGAATAGACGGAAAGGTTTATCGATGACTCGGCGATTATCCCCTTTCCTTTTTTCACTAAATATCTTTTTGCGAGTTTATTTTTTTTGCCTGTTGAGTCAGTGTCAAAATTGCTGTCAGTCGGGGATTTTGGATGAGAGAAATCGAAAGATCAAAACGTGTTTAGACTTGAATTCTTGATCTTCTAATTGTACAAACTTACAGATTTTTTTAGTCAAACTTTTAAAAATGAGTCAGTCAAGTTCAAAGTTTCAAAGTTTTCAGTCAATTTCAAAGTTCAGAGTCCAATGTTAAAATAAACTAAAAACTTGAAACATAATTCAAACTTTTACGAACTAAAACTGCGACTCAAGGTCAGTTTTAAGCTTGAAAAAGAAAAGCTACAGTGCTTATTTACATTCTAAAAACTTGTATCTAGATATTTTTCAGCCTCCAAAATTATCAAGTATCAATTTTTCATAAAAACAGAACAGACATTGCCGTTTTCTCTCCACCCGTTCTCTCTCGATCTTGAAAAGACCAGACATGACTATGACTAACCATAGCTGACATCATTCCCTGAAAATTCCCTTAAATTCGCCATTTTCCTAGCCAAAAAGCTAACTTCAAAACCAAATTGGGTAAATGAACCGAAATTTGCCAATCGAAATCCCTTCAATTACCTCGACTTCCTTCCCTATATAATCTCAATCTTTTCCCATTTCAATCAAAACAATTCTAATTCTTTCTTTAATTCTCTATTCATAAAATGTCTTTTTCATCTATTTCGATCATTTGTTTCTTCGCTATTTTCGGAATTTCTCTTGGATTCGATCATTTTGATGGAGATTTGAGAAGAGATTTCAATCGACAACACGAAGAATTCGAGCCTCTTCATCAGAGATTTGAGTGAGTTATTTGAAGAACATAAATAAAATATCTGATATCACTTATCAATATTTTATATTTCAGTATTCATCCCCGTTTCCGTCGTCAATATTATGGAATGAATGGCGGAGGAATGGGTGGAGGAATGGGAATGGGAATGATGGGTGAGTGGATGGAAAGAAAAGAAAAGAAGAAAAGAATATCTAATGTACAATATAATCTACTCAATTCATATCAACTAATAGATATCAATCGAATTCGAATCTCAATATCCATTCATTTTCAGGTGGAATGGGTGGAATGGGTCAACAAATGGGTGGAATGGGTCAACAAATGGGTGGAATGGGTCAACAAATGTTCCCAGGCGTCATGCAATCTTCAAAGAATAGTTGGGGATCGTTCTCTTCTCAACGCGAAGGTGGATTCAACAATCAACAGCAATCGTTGATTATGGGTTAAAGCCAATTTATTTGTACATATCGCTTTTGGCAATGAATCAATGCTTGATTCTGCTTATATTTATTGCTTTTTATATGTCTAAATTCAGGGAAAATTCAATAAAAGTATCTCATTTCTTCTACAAAAATTGTATTTCAATTAGAAACTAGAGAAAAAGATTAAAAAAAGAAAAAATAGAAAAATATTCATAGAGATCAAACTGTTCGTGTTGTCTTGACATAGCTGAAAAAATTGTAAATTCATTTTGAGGCTGATATTTTACTTGTTTTTGTCAATCAAGTATCTGTCTTTAGTTATAAAGTTATAAAGTTAAAGTAATTTTTTAAGTTCTGCAGCTGTTGAGTAAGTAAACGAATGAAAAACTCCTCCCACTTCATTCCACTCGGTTTCATTGTGAACCCTCATCGGCTCGTAGATCTTGAGAAAATCCTTTAACGGACATGGATTTGAACATTTCGGAATCTCCATCAAATATGGTGGATATTTGGTGGTGTTACGGTATAAAATCTAGTAAAAAAATTTGATGAGGAGTTGATGAAATAAACAGACTTGAACGGTTAAGCATTTATCGATCGAATGATTTCGGTGAATCTCAAAAAGAATGACTGCCGCTGTTGGAATCATCTCATCGCCAAGCAATCCCAAAGCAGAGAGTAGAGCAAAGAGACCATCATCGTGCTAAATATAGGAAAATTCCAAAACCTAATTCCACTTTCATTTTCTCAGCCATTTCTTGGCCGATTGTTTTGAAATTTTGTTTACAAATAGAAATTGGCGTTCTTTGCTTGTAGACAAAATTTCAGAACAATCGGTCAAGAGACGGTTGAGAAAACGAAGGTGAAATTAAATTCGGCTTCGAATTTTCCCATTTCTACATCGAAATCTTAATGAATTGAGTTGTACTTTGTGCTAAAAACTAGAAACACACTCTACCTGGTAAATCGAAAGCGACAAAGTGTTCTTAGAATGAAATGATTTCGCTAGCAAGAGTATGTTTCACATTTTCGGGCATAAATTACACTACAGAGAACAGAGTTTTTAACATTAACTAAAACTCTAGCCATTTTTTCCCCAAACTACCGATGAGTAAAGCACTGCGGCGAACGTTTGATTCCCATCTCTCAATGCTTCAATGTAAGTGATCAAATTGTTGAGCATTAAACTGAAAGAATCTTGGATTTCGATTAAAAAGTGCTCTATTTAAGTAAATAGAGTTAATTGAATATCAAAAAGGAAAAAGCTTTAAAAACCGGCCCTCCTCTCAATTTTCCCTTTTCGGGCGAGTTGAATTCACCCAAACGGAGTTTTTTCTTCAAGGCGACGATCGTGGGTAAAATGGGGAGATCGCCGAATTTCCCATTAACCCAATCCGGTTGTGGAAGGCCGTTTTTAATCTGTATTAATAAGACAATCATTTAAAAATTAATCAGTTTACTTAAAATTTTCTTTAGATCATTTTGAAATTTATCATTAGACCTTAAAAGAGAAAAAAAATGTGTTTTTCGAGACGTTTTCATGTGAAATTTGATTTCTGTCGTAAATTTTAAGTGTTAATTTTCGCGCAACGTCGCATTCCAATTGACGTCGCCGCCATTTGGAAGTGGTCGATTGGAGCGCCGCGTCGTCGTCTCTTTCGTTTTTCGTTTTCATTTGTTCATTTGTTGGGAGGGACAAATGCGACCTTTTTTTTGCGCACCCGGACATTTGCGCACCTTTTCTTCCGCACTTAGCCCATTAGCGCACCTTTTTTCACGTTTTAAAAAGCTCTAAAAAGCTAATATTAACCAATTTCTATTCCAAAAGTTGTTTTTCTAGGTAATTTTAGGGCGCAGAATCGAAATTTTGCATATCAGAGCTTGTGGAACCAATTTGAAAGACAAAACGGCTAGGTCAAATTACAGAAAATTGTTGATTTTTCTCTTTGTATAACTCCGTCCGTTCGCTTCCACAAGCTCTGATATGTCAAAATTTCGATTCTACGCCCTAAAATTACCTAGAAAAACAACTTTTGGAATAGAAATTGGTTAATATTAGCTTTTAGAGCTTTTTAAAACGCGAAAAAAGGTGCGCTAATGGGCTAAGTGCGGAAAAAAAGGTGCGCAAATGTCCGGGTGCGCAAAAAAAAGGTCGCATTTGTCCCACTCCCCATTTGTTTGTTTTCATTTGTTCATTCGTTCCATCATTTTTTTTTTGTCTGATTAATTGAAAGTATTGTTTTACGCGATAAATTTTGTGTTAAAATGAGAAAGCAATCTATTTCCATTTGTGGAGAATGGAGAATCCGGAATTTTTGGTAGACGGACCACAATGAAGGCAAAACTAACTGTAAGATGGTTTAGCGAGTTGAATGGAAACAACGAAAGGCTCATCTTCTGGACCGTTACAAAACTCATCAAGCTATCCCACCCACCTCAATTCCAAGCTCAAATAAATGTGCAACATTCAATCCATTGATCTCATTTCCCGTCATATTACTTAAATATTTAAAGAAATCGGCATATTTTCTAAAAAAATAATTTGAAAATCAGAAATTCTGGAAACTTCTCGATTTGATGAACGCTTTTCACGCGATCGGTTGTATTGAGGCGCTTGTATCGAGGACAACCAGATGCTTTTGGGCGAAGAATCTGTAAATGATCGTTTAACTGTAAACTTGTGCTTTTTAACTTAAAATATACTTTTATATCTTGTAGTTTCAGCTATCATTTAACTATCTTAAAACTATCTTAAAACTATCTTAAAACTATCTTAAAACTATCTTAAAACTATCTTAAAACTATCTTAAAACTATCTTAAAACTATCTTAAAACTAACCATATCTTGAGCTCGATCGATTCCATGCGAATGAATGGGTGTCGGTTGCCAAAGAAAGCTCGCATTCCAGCTGGAAATCGTTCAGATAAACGAGAAATAAGTGCTTCAGAAAAGGTGCGTTTGCAAATCGAGCACAAAGGACGCATAAGTTCAATACTTGAACTTGGAATTTTGACCAAAGCAAAAGAATATCTCACACTCGATTTCCAGTTGGTGGGAAAAGGCCGGCAGCGACTGCTTGAGCCGATTCGAGAGTTCTTTCTTGATCAGATGATTGCATGAATACCTAAAGAAAAGAAGAAACGATTTCAATTGAAGATTGTCTAACTTTTTTTGCTGAAATACCTTTTCTCGATCAAAAAACGGTCCAAACAATTTCTTCTCATCGATATAACGTTCTCGAAGAAAAGTTCCCAATTCGAAAGCTTCTTGAATTCCAAGCTAAACCTGAAATGTTCAATAGTTTTTTCTTCTTCAAACATTTGTCAATTGTTCCCATCCTCTCGGCCAATCTTTAATTCCATTTTTATTCTTTGCATATTTCAGATATTTTGGAGCTCGATCACCGTGTCGCCATACAGCCAACAATTGAACCAACTCTGTAAAATCAACTCAAGTCAGCATCGCTATGTGATAAAGAATTACCAACTGTGCAATCATTTATCTTCTTATTGTTTAAGTTTAAGTTTTCAAGAAAACTCTACCTGTATTGATAAAGTTAAAGAGAAATATGCAAAGAATGAAATGTACTTTCAGCATTGTGTTCAAATGGTTAAAATATGCCCAGATCTACGCCAGGAATCAAAAAAGAAACAAGAATTGCTTTAAAACTTGCTGAACAAAAATAAAAATGAAAAAATCTTTTTCGTGAGTGGATCGATCATTGATATTGAGAGAGACTGTGAAAACTTTAAAAAAAAAGGGAAAATTTACGTGATTTATGTTTTTGTAAAAGAATAATATATTGATGGATGTGGATGGATGTGTTCTCGGTTTTCTTATTTCAAAATGTAATGATCATTTTATGCACAATGAGAATCATAAACATAATCACCCGAAAGTCGATTCAGACAAAGTAAAGCCAGGAAAAAAATGGTTTTGAATGGAAATTGCATTGCGTCAGAAAGAAAAGAAAACAAAAGCAAAGAAGAAAAATTCCAAGTTTAACCCATAATCAACGATTGCTGTTGATTGTTGAATCCACCTTCGCGTTGAGAAGAGAACGATCCCCAACTATTCTTTGAAGATTGCATGACGCCTGGGAACATTTGTTGACCCATTCCACCCATTTGTTGACCCATTCCACCCATTCCACCTGAAAATGAATGGATATTGAGATTCGAATTTGATTGATATCTATTATTTGATATGAATTGAGTAGATTATATTGTACATTAGATATTCTTTTCTTCTTTTCTTTTCTTTCCATCCACTCACCCATCATTCCCATTCCCATTCCTCCACCCATTCCTCCGCCATTCATTCCATAATATTGACGACGGAAACGGGGATGAATACTGAAATATAAAATATTGATAAGTGATATCAGATATTTTATTTATGTTCTTCAAATAACTCACTCAAATCTCTGATGAAGAGGCTCGAATTCTTCGTGTTGTCGATTGAAATCTCTTCTCAAATCTCCATCAAAATGATCGAATCCAAGAGAAATTCCCAAAATAGCGAAGAAACAAATGATCGAAATAGATGAAAAAGACATTTTATAAATAGAGAATTAAAGGAAGAATTAGAATTGTTTTGATTGAAATGGGAAAAGATTGAGATTATATAGGGAAGGAAGTCGAGGTAATTGAAGGGATTTCGATTGGCAAATTTCGGTTCATTTACCCAATTTGGTTTTGAAGTTAGCTTTTTGGCTAGGAAAATGGCGAATTTAAGGGAATTTTCAGGGAATGATGTCAGCTATGAGTGGGAAAGGGGTTAGTCACTGTTTCTCATGAAATGTTCCACCTTTGTCACCGGGAAAAGAGAGTTCACTTTTTATGAACACAAGAAATCACCGCTCGTCACAAGTCTCACAGCCTGCCAAAAAATTTTTTTAAAGTAAGCCAGTCTAGGTTCGTGACTGGAGTTTTTTAATTGTTTTAACTTGATTCCTAATTTAATTTGCGTTTACTGGTTCAGGGCCTTGGTCGAATCGCTGGTTTGGTTTCTGTTCCTGCGCAGGCACTGGATTACAGATTCCAAGTCATATCTGACCCTAATGTATCATTTAACAACATCAAAAATCAATATCAAATATTACCGATGGGAAAGGAGATGCCGTGAACCCTTGATTTTGATAGGTGATCGAAGAAGAGGCAGAGGATTGGTCGACCTGTCATCGGCTTTTCTTTTCGTCTTTCATTCCAAAAAGGAGCTCGTGAATGACGTTTCCGAAAAGAATAATAACGAGAAATCGCTCGAAAAACGTCATTGACTTATTGTTAAAATCGAGTTTTAAAATCAAAGACGATGGTAAACGTTAAAAGTAAAAGAAAATAAGTTCATAGTTTACTGTACAGTTCTAATGTCTTACAGTATGCTTAAACAAAAAGGACTCAAGCTTTAAGATTAAATATCTTTACCAATGGAATGTCTATTTTGAATCTGTCTAAATTCTGTCTGAATATCAGTCAATGTAAAGATGAATACTGTAGTTCTGTAGACTTGAGTAAATTTTGCAATATCTTTAGCAAACCTTCAGCACCAAATCTTCAAGATCTGTAAGGAAAACCTGTAAGGAAAAAGTGTCATCATGGTCATCTCTATCAACACAAATCATTGATTAGTGAGGATGTGGGGAAAAGCCGTCAAATGACGTGTGACCGATCAGATACTGGACCCCTCTCTTCCTCTCTTCTCGTTTACATGACAGGTCTGCCCTCATCTCTTCATCGTGTCCATCCCAAGCTTCATATTTAAGCCCAATCCTTTGCCATTCTCACATCGACTTTCGATCATTACTCATTTTCCTCATAAATGGCCTTGCAACACTTGAAAACCGCGGCTTTCCTAGCCACCGTCTTTACGATTTTCTATTTGGCTCAAGTGAGTTAAAATTGGCTTATATTCTTTGATTGAGCCTTTAATTGATTCTTTAATTAATCCTTTAATTAATCCTTTAATTAATCCTTTAATTAATCCTTTAATTTGAATGAATCAATTCAAATCCATCTACAATCAGCTTCACTTTAAGATAAAGATAATAAAGCTCAATAAAGCCATGAGTCAAAATAGAAGCAATTTTCAGACTCACACTTTAGAAGTAAGAGATTACTGTAGCTTTGACGCCATTTAACCATCTAATTGAGTTATATTGTTAAAAGAATGCTACACTGTCACTTTCTTTTTCCAGGCAGCCCCAACCAACCGTGACTCCACGGCGGAGACGGCTCTTGCACTTGCAGGAACCACCGAAGCTCCCCTCTCAAATTCCACTGCTATCGACACACTCACTGATGGACCCAGTGGTGATGGAACAGGAGTGAGAGTGAAAAGAAATGGATGTTGTGGATGCGGATGTTGCTGTTGCCGACCGTAAGTCTCATCTAATTCAAGCCACAAAAAAACTCTCAACTTTTAGATGCTGTTGCTGCTGTAAACCGTTGGTTTTTGTTCTTATCTATTCAGAAGTTGAAACTTGAAACAAAAACAACTTTCGTTTCATTTCATTTTTAATTTTAGGTGTTGCTGCTGCTGTTGCAAGCCGTTCGTTTTCAAAACTTTTGAGATTTTAAAACTTTTTATCATGTTTAAGATGAGTTTTTAGTTGCTGCTGTTGTCGATGCTGTAAGTGTTGCACTTGCTGTACCACGTGTTGTAGACAGTGCTGTTGTTGCCGACCATGGTAAGGGTTTAATGAAACAGGATCAGTTTACAGGATAAGTTTACGTGATCATTTCTTTTAGCTCAAACTGGTTCAAGATCAGTATCCCATTCAATCCAAGTCAATTTCAGCTGCTGTGGTTGCGGATGCGGTTGCTGTGGATGTGGAGGAGGACGTAAGAGAAGAGCTCTTCAGAACTTGAAGATCAAATTGGCTGATCAACAAGAGAAAGAGAGACGGTTGGTTTTGAAAGGAATAGGATCAAAATCTGGAGTTGGATAGATTAGAAATCTGGAGCTGGAAAGTCTAGAAGCAGTCCATTGACAAAAGCTCTGACTCAAAGCAAAACTCAATCTTGTTAATACAAATGCTAATATAAATGCTATGCTAATGCTAAAAACAATACTAATATTATGAACTTTCAGTGAGGGACTTCCCAAAATCGGCACCGATTTGGCTTCAGTTGAGGAGAACAAAGAAGTCGAGAAGCCCGAGACAACCGACATTCAACTCCCTGATCCAGTCTACAATCTCGGAAAAGAAGAGCTCGCTGTTACCCAGAAGAAAACCCTTCTTAACTGAATTAGTGATTAGATATTTATTTAATTTATTTTGGAAATAAACGTTGTTTTTAAGTCAGTTCAAAAAAGAGTCACTTTTGTCAATTTTATTGGCAACAATAAGCAGACAAATAGCTGAAAAATCCCCTAGCTTATCTCAATATTATCAAAAATATTATCAAATTTCCGCACGATTTTCGTTGAACTTGCTGGACTCGTGTAGTCTTCGGGGATTTCCTTTAACCCAAATAACTCATTTTTTTTTTTGTTTTTCAACAGATCAGACCCATTTCCTTGTCTTGAGACAAAGCAACTCATCTAAAATCCCTCCAAAATACAAGTGCTTTGAAATTCTCTTGGCTCAGAGTACAAAATTTCGTCGAGGAAATCCTTCAGAAAATCCCCGGATTTTTGCATAATCGAAATCCAAGCTTTAGTCGGATTTCTGGACGATTTGTCTTCCCCATCTTTGTCATTTATTGTTTTTTGTTTGCTAAGTGGATCCTGGTTTTGTTTAGTCTAGCTTAATGACTACACGACATATGCAAATTGAGTTTCGCTTGAGGAATACAAGGGATTTTACGTGATTTTCAATGTGTTGAAGGTGTAGGGGAAAAAATGTGTTTTGAACAATGAGAAAAAGGGTAAAGTTTAGATTGAAAGCAAATGTCAAATGGTTAAAACAAATCGTGATAAAGTACTCGGATTGTTCCTCGTATATGTTTAAACTTGGCTAGTCGTTGGCTTTTCATTCTTTTCAGATAATTTTTGATATCCAGCTGCTATAATCTTTGCTTTAACTGGATCTCCTGATTTAGAAAAACATTTTCATAATGTTGACAAAGTCTAGGAATACTAAAATGTTTTTCTTTTCATGAGCTTTAACTACTAGATGTTTGATGTGGGTGATAAGCATGAATGTATCGTAATTCCTTCAATTCAGAACAGGGTAAACCCAGAAACCAAGTCCTGACCTGGCTTTGCTGTAGTCCTGGCTTACAAAAGTCCCTGAGCTTACCAGAAACTAGACCTGATTTACCGCTAGGATCTGATTGATACATCCTTGATTGCAAGATGATTTTTGTTTTTAACCCCTGCCTAGGGTCTAGGCTGTGGCCTGATCCCAACTTTGTTTGTTTCCTTTTTCCCTAGCCTAATCAAATTCATTCCCTAGTGTTCGCCTTTTGTTCACTTCCGGTTGGGGAATCAGATTTTCGATGAAAAACACGGAGATGACGATGCTGAGGAGAGAGGGAAAGAAAATAGAAAAAATTTCACCGAAAATTGTCTTAGGAATAAAAATAGATGTTAAAAATGGGGGAAATTGGATTGGATCGCGATTGTAAATCGTTTTCTTCGTGTAAATATTTTGCTTAGGTAATTGTTTTTGCTTAGATCAGAAGGTTCAATCGAGTCCCTTCAAAAGAATTTTGCTGAAAGATCAATCTTGGTTTTATCAGTTTATCATACGATCACTGATAGAATAGTTTTTATTTCTAAATGAATCCAAGGATGAACTGTATTTAGGCTATGAGTTTAGAAATAAATACATCAAATAGCTCCTAGAATGAAACGAAAAGCCCAAGAGTGAGGTGAGCGTCAGATAAGCGGGTGAATTGATTATAATACAATTTTGGTAGTACATATTCTGACGTTAAAGCAAATCCTGAAAGTTTTCGACTCCTTAACAGCACCATTTGCCGTCAGATTCTCATAATTTTATGAAATATTAGCTTCAAAGTTTCAAATTTTCAAATCCCCACAACTTTTTCTATAATTAAACTTTTTCCCTTGAACTAACTAATTAAAAAGACAAAAAATTTCCCCAAATCCTTTCATCAAAAAATAACAAAAAGCTTTGTTAAGTACAGAATCTTCAAGCAAAATAATGAAAGGTTTTTGAAGAGAAAAAAAGAAAAACGAAAGCGGAATTATTTTAGTGAATGGAATGGATTAGAAAACAAATGAAAAGAGGGGATTTGAAAAGAAATTGACTTTTCAGGCTTCGCTTTTTTTGCACGGAGAAGCTGTAGACAAAGCCATTTTGAGAATTTTCCTTTTATTCAAGGAATCGATCATTCGGATTAATGTTTTTTCTTATTTGAATAGCCATATAGGCCAAAGAATGAGTTTTAGTGGGGTTCAGTTCATCCAGTTTATTCATTAAGGGGATCATGAAACTACATCGAATTAAACAGTTGAGTTCAAATGGCTTCAGCTCTTGCAGTTAGTCATAGAAACAATTGCATAGTTTCAACTAGCTTTGTATTGTCTCCAAAGAATGTACGCACTGTTTCAAGTCTTGCGGGTCACTCCGCAATGATGTTTGAGAAGAACGAAAAGAGCTATCAACAAAAACCTTTTTTGCATTAAAAAGATCATGTTTTAAAACCCTAAAAAAACACCTAAAAACGACTTTTATATGCCGCCAAAATTTTTTTATCAAACATTTAAGAATTTCAGACCATTTCAATCATTACAACACAACGCACTTGATCTCCCTCACTCCAGAGGGGGTCAACTTGCAAAGTGAACTCAAAATGCTCCAATTTTGAGTCTATTATAAAAACAGGGCTTTTGTCAAAATAAAAACTATTCTTGCTTGCTTTTAATTAAACAGTTGATTTCAAATGGCTTCAACTCTTGCAGTTAGTCATAGAAACAATTACATAATTTCAAATAGCTTTGGATTGCCGAAAAATGATCGACATCATGATGAAAAATGGTGAAAAAAAAATGGTTTAATGCGGGAAATTGGTGCCTGAAATGCATCGTGCCTTTGCTGTAACTCAACGATATTTTAAGAACAAAGGTGTTTCTACCCCTAGACGTCGAATGGGCCCAAACTCCGAAACTCATTCCGCGAACAAAACGTCGAATTGTGAACAACATTCAAGGGGAAATCGGTCAACGAAGTCAAGGATGAGCTGAAAATCTAACGCATCTAAGACAACTATTTGGCGAGCTATCAAAGAAAATCCAAATATCGATCGAGAACTTCTCAATAAGCAGCCAGCCTTGACGTCGGAAAAACAAACAAGCCCGTTTGGACTTTGCCAAACTTCACATGAATCACTTTTTTGATCAGGTAAGACTTTGGTGTAGTTTGTGGAACATTTTGAGTTCACTTTGCAAGTTAACTCCCTGGAGTGAGGGAGATCAAGTGCGTTGTGGTGTAATGACTAGCACAGTTGCCCGGTAAGCGAAAAGTCGGGGGGTCGAGTCCCGACGGGGCACAAGTTTTCGATCTGCCAACTCCAACTTGCATTTAAAACTGGGGTCTTTAATTGGTTGTTTTTCAAGCGAAAAGAAATGAAAAGAATTTTAGTGTACCAGAAAGTATGTGTTTTTGTTTGTTGAGCACAAAGTACAAAAGTATAGATGACTAATCAAGACAGTACTAAAGATTTGTATGCAGCTATACTGTAATGAGACTTTACAAATACTAAAACTAGTACTGTAAAATCCTTGTCTCACTACAGTAAACCTGAATCTAAGTACCACAAGCTGACAATAAGAAGTTTGATATGTTACGTAAAGTTGCTTACTGCAGTGAAACAAGTAAGATTTTACAGGACGATTAAAATCGGCTTAAATGTTTTCTTAATGGGGCCCAGAAAGGGAAGGGTCTGTGGTCGACCCCGTCCGATCTGCCAAGTTGAGCAACGTCGGCGCGGGTTAGTCGTGGGTTCGACTCCCATGGGTTCCCCTCCGAGCGCCCCAGCCCGGCCATCGGAGTATCATCGGCTACGACAACTACACTTCTGCCTCAGTAAATGTGGAAGCGGGTTGTGATCTGCGCTAAGTGCGAAGACAGATCCAAATCATTATTAAATGTTTTCTTAATGAATGAATTAATAATGAATTTTTTTCTTGATCTCCTTGATTTCAATTTTTCCTGTTATCATTCTGTATCTGTTGGGAAGATAGCCTTTTATACTTCCCACAAAATTGTCGTTTTCTAAAGTGCACCCTTCACGTCTGTCTAGGTTGTCACTAGGAACGTCCTGTAGTCTGTGCCATTTTATTTTCTTTTCACCTCCTCCCATTTGAGTTCTACATTTTTGTATACGAATCGATTGTGATTCTTTTACTCGTCTTCATGCCCCTCCACGCTAACTGTTATTCCGCAAGCAAGTCAATCACGTTACAACAGTCGCGAGGATGTACACAGTATCATTTCCCTTGTTTCTGTGGTAATGATAATCCATCCCTTTAGCACACGGGTCTCCATTCCATTCCATTCATTCATTCATTCCCGCTAATCTCATTCCTAAAACGGATGTGCGAGGGTGGATGTAATGAGATAAGAAAAAGCTGATCAACAACATATATTTTCCTCATTAGCACGCACAAATCCGGGCCCATTTTGAGTCAAATGTGGGTCCTCTTTTTTTTTTCCTCACTACATCCGCTTTCTCTTTTTTTTGTGTTGAACTAATCCCTTGAAAACTTTCAATGCAAAAATTTTTGTATAGAATAGTTGTTCCCGGTTTTGAGCAAAATCCAACGAAATCCCTCGATAAAGACGACGCGTTTCCGATTGAGGATTGGGCTATTGAACGAAAATTTCCCGAAATACTCTCAGCCTAATAAAAGAAGCGAATAATTTGCGTAATCATCTTATTTTGTAGTTTTCATTTGCGATAAATAATGCTATTTTTGAGGTAATCGAAGGGTGAATGAATTCGTGGAGTTGCGTGTGTAGAAATGTTGTTATTGACAATGTTTAGTGAAGCGAATTAGCTTAAATCAAGAAAAAGCACAAGGAAGTGTACGTATGTAAATGTAGAAAAAATGGTATTTCCTTCAGCTCTGGTTATACGTTGGCTTGTGCATCATCTCCAGAGATGATTCAAAAGCATTAAACCAAGCCAGGTCAGCCAGGCCTTGAGCTGGCTTTTGGCTGGCTAAGCTCATTTATATAACTAACTGCTGTGACCAACTCCACCGGCGTGCTGTGGCTTAGATGAGATTTAAGCTTTGAAGTCATCAAGTTGGACAATCAGTGACTCAATT